CAGTGACCTGCCCCAGGGCTCCCAGTACGACCAGTTCCCAGTCTGCCCAGTGACCTGCTTCAGGGCTCCTGGTATGCTCAGTTCCCTGTCTGCCCAGTATGGCCTGTGACCTGTCCCAGAGCTCCCAGTATGCCCAGTGACCCACTCCAGGGCTCCCAGTACGGCCAGTGACCTGCTCCAGGGCTCCCAGTATGCCCAGTTCCCAATCCCAGTCTGCCCAGCATGGCCAGTGACCTGCTTCAGGGCTCCCACTGTGCTCAGTTCCCAGTCTGCCCAGTAACCTGCCCCAGGGCTCCCAGTAGGGCCAGTTCCCAGTCTGCCCAGTATGGCCAGTGACCTGCCCCAGAGCTGCCGGTACCCCCAGTTCCCAATCCCAGTCTGCCCAGTGACCTCCTCCAGGGCTTCCAGTATGGCCAGTTCCCTGTCTGCCCAGTACGGCGAGTGACCTGCCCCAGGGCTCCCAGTACAGCCAGTTCCCAACACCAGTGGGCCCAGTACACCCAGCTCCTTGTCACAGGGCTCCCAGTATGCACGGGTTCCCCTGTCCCGGTGCCCCCCAGTATGCCCAGTATCGGCACCCCCACTGCCTCCCAGTCTGCTCCAGTTTTCCCCCAGTACATCCGGTGCTTCCCAGTAGAGCACCATCTTCTCATCCCAGTGCCACCCAGTATGTTCTCTGGCTCCCCAGCTGCCCCAGTTCCCTTGTCTCAGTGGCCCCAGTATAGCCGAGTTCCCCCCAGTATGTTCCAGTCGGTGCGAAATGCAGCGGTTCCTCTCTCCCAGTGTGACCCAGTTCCCCACCAGTATGTTCTGATGTCCTTCCCAGTTTATCCCAGTCACTCCCAGTATGCTCCTCTGTCCAGCCCACTATCTCCCAGTGCCCTCCATTACCTCCCAGTATGCCCCAATCTGCCCCAGTAGCCCTCAGTCTGCCCCAGTGCCCCCCCCAGTCTATCCCAGTGCCTGCCAGTGTCCCCCCAGTTTGTCCCAGTAGCCCCCAGTCTGTCCCAGTGCCCCCCAGTATGGCTCAGTGCCCCTCCGTTCTGTCCCAGTATGTGCCAATTCCCCCCAGTCTGCCCCAGTGCCCCCCATTACCTCCCAGAGTCTCCCAGTATGCCCCAATTCCCCCCCAGTCTGACCCAGT